GAAGGCATCCCCCCCCTCTCTTCTCGGATGGTGTGGTGGGCCAAATCAAACATTACCACGGGCCAACTTAGGCCCGCGGGCCCTAGTTTGGGCATCTCTGCCCTAAGGGATCCCAGTCTAACTCCTCCTCCTGCTCTGATGAGGAAGGGAGAGAGACATGTAAGCAACTGAAATTCCCAGGGGCTTGGGCAGGAACCTCTGGGAAGAGGACAGGAACCAGGGGGACGGGGTCCATTGGGGCAAAGGGTACAGGGATAGAGACCCCAGGAGTCTCTGGAGCAGGTACAATGGGAACTGAGTGCACGGGGTGTTCTGGGATGGGGAGCTTGGGGATTTTGGGGGCAGGCACCACGAGGATTGTGGTTGGTGCCACAAGGGGAAGCGTCTCTGGGTCCAGCACAGCCAACAGGTGCGCCCCCAGGATTGTCGTGGCAAGGAGGTGTGCCTCGGGTGCAGGCACGGTGAGAAGGTGCACCTTGGGAACATGTGCAGCGGGAAGATGTGTCTTGGGAGCAGGCATGATGATAAGATGCACCTTGAGAATGTGCTGACTATGCAGGGGCAGTGGAAAGTTCGGGCAGTTCAACCGGCGGGAGAGAGGCAACCCAGAATCTAAGTGTACCCGCCATATCAATGCCTCAGCAATCCCGCTTTTCAGCTAGGTCAGGTTCTGCCGCACCTCCTCTGCAAGGTATGGGTCTTCAGAAGGTGAAATCTCCTCCAGCAAGGGCTCTAGCTGTTGGGTCCTCCTGGACCTCAGGCTGCCAGAGCCAGTAGATTACCTTGTCTACCAAATTGAAGTACTCCTCCTCAGTAAGGCAAGGCATCTTCTCATGGAGTCTGGTCATTCTGTCATGGGGCAAGCTTGCAGGACCGGAGAAACAGGGTTAGGAGTCTCAGAGATATGGTGAAAACACATGGTTTATTTACGAGATGGAACACTCGAGAACACAGGGCACTGGCAACATTAATGACCAGACTGGGGAATGGCTCACAGGAAAGCACTTAATTACACAGAATCAATCAGACAAGACTACAGAGAGCTGGTAGCCAGGAACATTCCACATGAGGTAAATGAGGGGGTGTGGCACAGGATCAGAATGAGTGGGCCATGACAGCAGGAGATACCCTGGGCAGATTTCAGTCCATCACTGAGCTTTTAGAGATGCTAGATAGCGTAATCTCATGATTTGGGACTGGAAGGAAACCAGAGGACCTGGGGAAACATGGAGAGAGCATGCAAACAACACAGGGCCCAAGCCAGGAGGTGTGAGGGGCCAGTGTTACCCACTGAGTCACCATGCAAACAACACAGGGCCCAAGCCAGGAGGNCCAGGAGGTGTGAGGGGCCAGTGTTACCCACTGAGTCACCATGCAAACAACACAGGGCCCAAGCCAGGAGGTGTGAGGTGCCAGTGTTACCCACTGAGCCACCATGCAAAAATGTTACAAATGAGTGGCACTATGTGGTAAATATTAAAATATTCTGTATATTTATCACAGTTAAACTGCATAATTCAGCTCTTACAGTATATGGAAACCAAAACCTATCCATCCATCCGTCCATCCATTCATCCATCCATCCATCTATTTTCTGCTGCTTATCCAGGGTCAGTTCGTGGGGCAGCAGTCTAAGCAGGGATGCCCAGACATCCCTCTCACCAGCGACCTCCTCCAGGTCCACCGGGGGAATACCAGGGCATTTCCAGGCCAACTGATATCTCTCCGGCATGTCCTGGGTCTGCCCCAGGGCTTCCTCCTGGTTGCAAATAACCGAAACACTTCCCTAGGAAGCCATCCAGCAAGCATCCTAGATAGATGCCTGAACTACCTCAACTGGCTCCTTTCAATGCGGAAGAGCTGAGTTTCTATTTTGAACCCCTCCTGAATGTCCAAGCTCCTCACCCTATCTCTGAGGGTGAGCCCAGACACCGCATGGAGGAATATTTCTGCCACTTGTGTCCACGATCTCAATCTTTCAGTCACTAAACAGAACTCACATAGGTTAGGGTAGGATCGTAAATCAACTGGTAAATTGAAAGCTTTGCCTTCCAGCTCAGTGCCTCTTTACCTTGACAGAACGGAACAGTGTCTGCATTACTGTTGATACTACACAAATTGGTTGGTTGATCTCCCGCTTCCTACTTCCCTCACTTGTAAACAATACCCTGATATACTTAAACTCCTCCGCTAGAGGCAGCAACTCTGACTCAGGAGGAAGCAATCCATCCTTTTCTGGTTGAGACCCATAGCCTCAGATTTGAAGGTGCTGATCATCATCTCAGCTGCCTCACACTCAGCTGAAATCTTCTCCAGTGCATACTGCCAGTCACAGCCCAATGACACCAGCAGGACCACATTGTCTGCAAAAAGCAAAGATGCAATCCTGAGACCCCCGAAAACAATTCCCTTTATTTTAAAACTATATGGAAACAACAATAACAAAAAAACTACACTTCAGGGGTATTATTAAAATAATATAAAATTGTTATGCCCCTGTGTCCTGTACTACTGTTGTGACCAGTGGTAGGCAAGCAGGCAGGAAGCAGGGCAGAGGGTTTATTATGGGGAAACAAGGGACTAACAGGGCAGACGGTGACAAACATCAACGATGAATCTGGGGAAAAAAGACTCAGACATGGACTAAATACACAGAACATATTAGACTGATGGAAAACAGCTGGGCACAATCGGGGGAGCACACATGGTTGATCAGGGGGCATGGCACACACAAGGAACATACACACAGGTCATGACCCCCCCAAAAGCATGCACTCTAGGTGACAAACGAGACGAGACTGGGGACACGGACCTGGAAAACAAGACCAAAAACATCACTGGGGCACAGGGAACAGGACAAAAAACAAAACAAGCACAAAGGCAGAAGCCAGGACAAGACCTGACACAGAACGGGAAACGCGGACAGACAAACCAGAATGGTAGACACCAGGGAAACACCAATGGAAGGGACAAAAGGACCGGGAGTGAACAGAGGAACCACAGGGGGACGAGGAGCTGAGACAGGAGGGACAGAGGGATGAGGAGCAGACAAGGGAGGCCAGACAGGAAAGGCCAGGGGACAAAGGGCGATTTTCCACCGCACAAAGTACGGTACTTTCGGTACGGTACTTTCGGTACTTTCGCTTTTCCATTGACTTCTGGTCGAGTACCAGTACCAAAATCTCGAGTACCAGAAGTGCCAAACCATTTGGGGTACTTCTTTGGTAGTTCGGTACTTTGGGGTGGGACTTGCAAACGTATTTGCTGTCGATTGGTTATGCAAATAGCCTGCCGCTGAAACATAAAATACAACCGCTATCTTTTGAAATACACAGCGAGAAACAAAATAAAAAGCAGTAGAAACAAAAATATAAAAAAGTAAAATAGAAGGATGGACAAACGAGGAAACACAGGCTTTAATCGCCATATGGTCAGATGAACAGATCCAGTGGGATTTGGTTGGCACGACTTGAAATAAAAAAGTTTTTGCCGTTCCGAGCAGTTCAGTTTCCCTATGTTTCCCCTGTCGCGCGCTGATTTGTACACGGTTTCGCTGTTGTTTTCATGTTTTTACGAGGTAAACAAGCCATATATTAATTTTAAAACATCACATGCCTTTTGTATGTTTTTTGTTTTTACAGATAATAAATGAAATTACTTAATTCGCTGGATAGAGGTATTTCTTGATGAAAACGGTATAGTATTGTTTATAAAACTATATTATGCGTGACGATCTAATGTATTCATATGTAATAATGTACCTGAGTGATTTTCAGACATTTCACATACCTCTTTGCTTTAATATTAGGGGAAACATTATTTCCTGATAGACAGGAGAAATATATGGAAACTTAATTGCCGGGAACACCGTAATACCAAGCCGCTTGGAAGAAATGGGGCACACGCGAAACACCGAACAATGCCGCTTGAAAATCAAAAAACATAATTAAATAATTTGTTTGCTTTCAAAAGACTGAATTAGCAGTAAGCTAATTCTTACTGCTTTGATCGGCTTAGCCAAAGTAAGTGTACCTACGTAAACGTAATTGATGGCAGCATGATTTGGATTTTACTGAATCTTATACTGTGATAGAAGCTGACATAACAATAAACTGCATTTTCCAGCCTCAACTATTAGTTTTAATTTTGGGCTGTCAGTCAGGGGCGGTCACTGATGATGTCATTTGGTGCCGGTACCATTTTTTACGCCAATGGAAAACCGACATGAAAGAAGAACCAAACTTTCTGCACTTTATGGAAGTACCGAAAGTACGGTACCTGGTGCGGTGGAAAAACGCCCAAAGGGGAGCCCGAGGGAGCCACAGCGGGCGATGGGCAGCAGCCAGAGGGGCCGCAGTCAACAGGGAGGCAGGAGGGGACCATGAAGGGGCTGAGGAGACCGGCAAGGCACAGATGAAGGGGACAAGGAGGGAGTCGGAAGGAGCACCAGGGGAGGCGAGGAGGGAGTTGGAGGGGAGTCCGACACAGGCAAGGAGGGAGGTGGAGCCATGGCAGGCGACCGAGGAGTCGACGCCGGGGAACTCGCAGGCGACTGCCGAGCAGGAGCCAACGGACCCGCAGGTGTCCCCCGAGCCCCAGCCAAGAAGAGCAAGGGCAAGCCAGGGGCCAGGGTGGGCGGGATCCGACCCTTGCGCAGATGCCCCCTCCCCTTTCAGGACACCGACAGATGGCGATCTGGCTGGGATCCTCCATGCTGGGGCGAAGGTAAAGGGGTCAGTCCCCTTGTGGGGTCATTAGGGAGGTCCCCCACGGGTCCCACTCGAGCTCCTCCTCCTCCAAGGAGGAAGGAGCGGAGACCAGACAGTCTGGGACCTCCTTGGGGACTGGAACTGGTGCTGAGGGGACTGGAGCAGGAGAAACAGCGGGCAGAGCTGGGGCCGGAGCATCAGGCATGGGCGGCTCCAGAGCATCTGGCGCGGCTCAGACTGGACCAAACTTAATTATTAAAAATAATTTATAAGAAATCTTTATTTTTTAAATGTATTTTATTATATAATAATAAGGAGTTACTGTCAATCAGAGTCTAAATATATTTTTACTGTCTAAATATATGTATTCAGCTAGTGTAAACATACATGATCCTATCACAGCCAATGCGAGGCTGAGACTGAAGCTTTACCCTTTGTTTCCGCTGAGAGGCACACCGCGTGACTCATTTCCCCGTGCGTCCAAGTTAACTTAGGTCGGTGTTCACGGTTTGACTACTGAGATTCAGATCAAGTACTAGGTAATTTTTTTCCGAACTGGTTGGTAGAAATTCGAGTTCTAATGAGTTCGAGAACTGAGGTACCACTGTATAGACTTTGTTATGTTAAACGTTTGTTTAAAATAGAGTTCTATGTTAAACTTTAGCTTAAAATAAAGTATACTATCCTTTGATTAAAAATAAAAGCATTTATATTATATAAGCATTATATTGGTACCATTTAATGCAATATAGGGCCGAATTAATAATTTATATAGTGATTTCAAGGAAACTTCAAGATATCGAGATATATATTGTGTATCGTGATATAGCTTAAAAATATCGCGATATTATTTTTTTGTGATATCGCCCAGCCCTACGCGCAGGTCATGACAACTATGAAACGGGGTTACTGGCTTATCAGTGTAACTTGTTGGATTTAAGGTACCACAGTTTAAATAGACTTAACATTCGTTCACTTACATTTTGCCCAGACTACCTTAAATCCGACAAGTTACCCCAATAAGCCAGTAATCCCGCTTCGTAGTACAGGCCGCTGGTCTAGTTCAGGAGGCCATAACAATTAAGCAGGGGACTAAAATGCTCTACAAGCAGGATAGTGTAGTGTAATCTTGTATTTCACATCACACAACTCTGAGAAGATTCAAAACATAGCCCTTTTATTCAGGCCTTTTTTATGCACATAACCATGACACTGAAGGGAATAAGGAACAAGGGCGGAGCCAAATATAAGAAAAGAAACTAACAAAACAGATCTCAAAACCGAAAACTTTACTATCATGAAATAAATCAAAGAAAAAGAACTACTTACCTCCTACCCAAAGGAAATATACAAGGGTTGGCCCCACCCACCTTCCTAGTGTCTTTAACATTAACAGCTCTACATAGATGTGTAGGTGCGCACCTCCTGCCTACCCAGTCCCTTTCCCCATGCATATACAAGGTGCCAGTCAAAGGGAGGCGAGCCTTTCATTCACTGGGGTGAACTCCAACATACTGGCAGCAAACCAGGGGGCTACAAGTAGCCCACCACTGCCTGGCACCTCTCACCATGGGCAACTCCAGAGTGGAATAGAGTCCAGCATCTTGCTTGCGTTGAGGTAAGCCCAACTATATCTAGGCAGTATATTTCTATCTCCAGCAGCAGCTCAGACTCCTTTCCCACCAGGGAGGTTACATTCCATGTACCAAGACCCAGTTTTGGTAGCCGACGATTGGCCTGCCAAGGCCCCTGCCTTCGACTGTCATCTGATTTATATTGCACCTGACCCCCACAGCTCCCCCTGCAGGTGGTGGGCCCACAGGGGGATGGACCCATGTTTTGCTTTCAGGCTAAGCCTGGCCAGGCCCATGGGTGGAGGCCCATCCACTAGGTGCTTGCCTTCGAAGATGGCAATTGGGATGGTATTGGGAATTGGTAAGATATTCATAAAATTTGACTCTCATGTAAAATGTGTAAACTGTATTGTCTTTTTCTTAGAATAAAAGAAGAGTTGGGCTTGGTTGAGAGACACCACGATGCTGAGCTGGACCTGGTAGGTGTCCAAGATACATCTGCTCCTCTGGTGGACCTGTTTCTTCACATCAGTCTGACTATCTTCCCTTAATTTTGTCTGTAGCAAATCTGTGGCTATTGTGCTCTTCCTCCTTCCCTTTAAGTATGGAGTCTATTGAGGTAGAAGAAGAGCCCTTATTATGACTCCAGCACACAGGAACATGTCTGTACATTCTCCATGCTTACAGTCCCCTGTTGTTAAACATGGTAGGGAAGGCATTCATACAATAATGAAACATATAAAAGACACAGTGACTGATTTACCCACAGGTCATACATACCCCCGAAGAGATTGACGGCCTCCAAATAGACTGTCATTGTAGTCTAGAGACTAGCCCACAGTTTTGGGGCAGAATAAACACCAGGGTTGGTCTGGGAAGAAAAGTAGTCCACACTCTCTCTAGTTTAGCTAAACAGTTACAAGTGTTTTACACTGTAAAAAAAATCCATCAAAAAACAGAAAATGTACTGGCAGAAAATTACCAGCAAATTTTCCGTTAATGGACTCTTCCTTCAAGTCTCAAGGAAAATACTGTAAATTCAGTTTTCCACAGTTTGTTGTTCCAAGGAATATTTCTTAACTAATAGTTTACTTTCATTTTTAATTTTTCATTCAGTCAATGCAGAATTGTTCATTTAATAAACGGTGTTGTTCACAAAACTACAAAAGTAATTTGAGAATATAGTAATTCACTGCATTCATTATTTTTCATGGCTGAAGGGCCCATAAACATGCAACTGTCTAGCTGAAGCTAGATTTGAACCAGCAACCGGTGGATTATAAGACCAAATACTTAGGCTACTGAGCCACAAAATTTGCTGGTAATTTTCTGCCAGTACATTTTCTGTTTTTTGACGGATTTTTTTTTACAGTGTACTTTTGTTAAATGGGGGGGGGGGGTTTCAAAAGTAAAGGGGGAGGGATATGTTGTATATTGACTTCTTAAATTTGTCCCTTGTAAGATGCTATACGCCCCTTCCTATTGTTGGTTGTGCGAGTTTTTCTAATATGCTGGTTCCGGTGTTCCATTTAATACATTAAAGAGAAGCAACGATCCCCCATGTCACTCGCGTGTCTCCAGTCCTGTTCTTTATTAGTTGTAACCCCAGTGTGATAATCTGAGCATATACAACACTCGGTACTCCAATTATATTGGTGGGGACATGTCCCCGTCATCCATACCCAAATCTACGCTCTTGCTCCTACATTATAGGATACATCAGCAATGGAAATGAGTCAGAGTATAGAGGAATAGTGGAGGACTAGAGGTGCAGGACAACAAAATGCATATCAGCATCAGCAAGACACAGGAACTGGTGGTGGACATTCAGAGTAAAAGGAAGCCCCTGAGACCAGTCACCATCCAGGGGGAAGTGGAGGTGGTGCAGGGCTACAAATACCTGGGGGTCCACCTGAAGAGCAGACTGCACTGGGAAGCCAACACAGTGGCACTAGACAAGAACAGCCAGAACAGACTTACTGAGGAGAATCAGTGCAGTAAGATGCTGACCGTGTTTTATCAGTCAATAGCAGTCAGCATGTTGTATTCTGTCATGGCCTGCTGGGGATGAGGCATCAGCTCAGGCAAAACCAGACACCTGAACAAACTCAGGAAGGTCAGAATGACAGGATAGAGCAGTAACGGAAAGGTGGACGTTAGCAAAATTGGGCAACATTATTGTAGCCGGGTGCTGTATTAAATAAAGTAAAAAAAGGTCTCTGTTCCTTTAATGATGATAGCGCGTGACCATGAACTTGACGTCCTCTGAGTGCTTTTGCGCATGAGCAAGGCGCGTTTTGAGACCGGTCAGCAAGCGCGGGGAAATGCCACGGCTGCTGAGGTTGTTTTCTGCAGGTAAATTGTATTTCTTAATTATATCTGTTATATATGCCTATTATTTGGTATCATGGTTTATAATAGAAACTTATAGTGTCGTATTTCTGTTTTGTCTGGGTTGGATGTGGGAGATACGTAGGCATGTATATACTGTGTTAAATGACTTGTTAATAAATTTAAGTACATGAGTTGAATGTACATGTCTCTTTATCAGATTCAGGTAGGCCTATTACATTGAGAAGAGGGATTGTGCTAAATCTCCCGCCTTAGTGAGCTAACGTGTGTGATCTAGCGGGCTGAAGGGTGAGTTTTGTTTCTATGTGTGGGGGTTTTAAAGTAGTTAGTTTTGCTTTATGTAAAAGCTAATGTGTTTTATTTCTGTTTAATCCCCTCTGAAACAGAACCACTACTGTATATTATTGGTTGTAGTTTTGGAAAGATTATATTTTCTTTCAATTTTGGAACATCGGTCTTCTGTTAGTATGCTAACAGAATAGACGGGGATATTAGATTTATTTTAAATTCTAAAAATATCAGAAATAAAAAAAACTCAGAAATTTTGTGATTCTGTGTAACTTCTCCAGGTCACATTATGAATAATTCTGTCCATCCCCTTCAGGAAACGCTATCCTGGAATATATTTAGCCACTGGCTCACAACACCATGGTGTGCTAAAAAACATTACTATAGATTAGTGATGCGCGGGTCGACCGGTGGGTAACCGCGGGTGACCCGCGGGTGCGGGCAGTTTTAGGGCAGACATTATTAAAATATCGTGGGTGCGGGCGGGTAAAAAAGTTACAAAACGCATTTCATTATCGACCAAAACGTGTTGTAAACGGGGTCGGCGTATATTTTTCAATTTAGGAGTTTTCAATTTGTAGGATAAGCTACTAGTTTGGTGAAATATCTGCTCTACTTCATTTTAGACAAAATTAAGTTAAAAGAAGACCAAAGTTCTACTAAGTTCATTCAAATCTGACAGTTCTCAGATCCGATGTTACAGTTTTGCCAACTAGTGTGTTTTGCATACAGTACATCCGTGCTTGTGTGTGTTTGTGTGTGTGCGAGACTAATGTCTTTCATGCAATTTTCCGCAACCCTTCAATAAATAACCACGTAAAAATCGATCTTTCAATTTCTTTGTTGTTGCTTGGTACACAGTTAATCTTGCATAAAATTGTGTCATCATCTTCAGTCAGGGTACCCGCAGTCATGGAAAACCTGGAAAAGTTTTGGAATTTTGAAATAATTTTTCCAGGCCCTGGATAAGTTTTGGAATTCTTGGATAGAGAGGAAAAGTTATGGAAAAGTTTTGGAAACTAGCCTTGTTCATTTTTGTTTCCCGCTTCGTTCCGCAACGTGCTAACAGAAATGTACAAGTGGAAGTCAGTAGTTAACTACCTTGGTAAACATCCGTTTCCGCGCAGATTTCGCGTATTTGAGATCCCTGCTTTTTTGCTCGCTATTCCAGTTTTTATGGTTTTATTTTTTTGCACGTATTTAAATTTTATTGATTCCAGTTTCCCGTTTCTGACTCCGTTTGCCTCTAACAATCATAAGGTAGGCCTACGTATAATATTAATAATGTGATTAATTTTCTTAATAATTGAATGCTATTTGCACATTGGTGAAAGTTGTTGTAAGGCGGTTGGTGCCTGCCACAGCGGCAATCCCCGAACCCACTGGTGGACATTGGCGGTGACGGATGCTGTCAAGATGAAGAAGGAGTCCTATTAGGCCTTTTTGGCCTGTGGGACTCCAGAGGCAGCTAATGAATACTGGCAGGCTAAGCGGAACACGGCGTCAGCAGTCGCGGGGGCAAAAACTTGGGTATGGGAGGAGTTTGGCGAGGCCATGGAGAATGACTTCTGGATGGAAGGTTCTGGTCCACTATCCGGCAGTTCAGGGTGGGAAAGCGTTGCAGCATCAGCACTGTTTATGGTGGGGATGGGACACTGCTGACCTCAGCTTGGGACGTTATGTCGGTGGAAGGAATACTTTGAAGACCTCCTCAATCCCACTGACGCACCTTCCAATGAGGTAGCAGAGTCTGGGGACTCCCCTATCTCTGGGGCAGAGGTCACTGAAGTGGTTAAAAAGCTCCTCGGTGGCCGGGACCTGGGGGTGGATGAGATCTGGATGTTGCAGGGCTGTCCGGGTTGGCATGCATCTGCAGCATCGAGTGGACATCGGGGGCAGTGCCTCTGGATTGGTAGACCGGGGTAGTGGTCCCCCTCTTCAAGTAGGGGCACCGGAGGGTGTGTTCCAGCTATAGGCAGATCACACTCCTCAACCTCCCTGGTAAGGTCTATTCGGGAGTCCTGGAGAGGAGGGTCCGTCAGATTGTCGAACCTCGGATTCAGGAGGAGCAGTGTGGTTTTCGCCTTGGTCATGGAACAGTGGACCAGCTCTATACTCTCAGCAGTGTCTTGGAGGGTGCATGGGAGTTTGCCCAACCAGTCTACATGTGCTTTGTGGACTTGGAGAAGGCATTCGACCGTGTCCCTCAGGGAGTCCTGTGGGGAGTGCTCCGGGAGTACGGGGTGCTGGGCTTCCTTATAAGGACTGTTTGGTCCGTGTATGACCAGTGTCAGAGCTTGGTCTGCATGGTCGGCAGTAAGTCAGACTCATTTCCGGTGAGGTTTGGACTCCACCAGGTCTTCCCTTTGTCACCGATTCTGTTCATAACTCCGCATCGAGAGGAGCCAGATGAGGTGGCTTGGGCATCTGGTCAGGATGCCTCCTGGACGCCTCCCTGGTGAGGTGTTCTAGGCATGTCCCACTGGGAGGAGGCCCTGGGGAAGACCCAGGACATGCTGGAGAGACTACTGTATGTCACCCCCACAGTCATGAATAAACACAGCCTAAAACACATGCATTCCCATGATTGGCGACTGCATTCAAATATACAATGCTATTAAGAACAACAAACCTTCCTTTTTTCACAGCTACTGTAATGAATTACATTGTTATTGTCATTATGTCAGACATCTGTCAAAACCAGTCTAGAGTGATGCTAATGTCTTACATTGTCCATGTAGGAATGTTGTGAATATTTTACAAGTTGAAGTGTTTGAGTACTTACAGTATGTATGTAGTCTGCTGGTTGTTTAAGTTTATTTGGTTACATGAAAATTAGTCAAGAATTGAAAAGTTAATATCACTTCCAGGGTGTCAACATACCCAGCAGACTCTCCGGCCCTGACACAAGGGTCGTTTCGCTTGGAGCTATGCGGCTCCTAACAGCTCATCTGCTTTGGTCACCCACGTGGGCCTCTCCAGCTCTGGGCTGTTGCCACACACAGCCCATGCAACAGGTACGTCCACTCTTGGAATAGCGGGGGGAGGATTGGCTGACACAGTCTTCACCGCCAGCCCCAGGGCCTCTGGATGGGGCATGGCTTCTCCAGCTGAACATGAACCAGCTACTTAGGGGAGAGTCCTGATGAGCTGGTCCTGTACGTTGAGGGGCATGTGTGTGTGGGCCTGCTGCACCAGGACCTTGGTGTCATTAGCTGTTGCCCGAAGAGGCTTGCCTGGATGTCTGCAATGACCCCCCCGGTCACTTTTCAGGAGATCTGGTTCAATGCATTGGGAACGAGTTATCATGAACCACCAAGATTATTTTTAGTTGTTTCTATTATTTCCTCTATGTGTAATCCATTTACTGTACACACTGTATTTTTTTCCATCAAATATACACTACATAGACAAAAAAATTGGGTCACCTGACCATTACACATATGGGAAATTAATGACATGGACCTCCCTTTGTAGCTATAACAGTTGCCACTCTTCTGGGGAAGCTTCCCACAATATTTTGGAGTTTGTCTGTGGGAGTTTTTGCGAATTCATCCAGAAAAGTATTTGTGAGGTCAGGTGCTGATGTTGGATGTGATGGCCTGGCTCGCAACCTCTCTTCTAGTTTATTCCAAAGATGTTCAAAGGAGTTGAGGTCAGGGCTCTGTGTGGGCCAGTCAAGTTTTTCCACATCATAAATTGAAATTTTTATGTGTTCAGCATTCATGCAAAATTTGATAAATATAACCCCTAGAGCTGGGCGATAAATCGATTTAATCGGTTCATTTGAATTTACAGTTCAGGATGATGTGTTTTCATGAAAATCGATTTTATTACTTTTTTTACACACGAGCGCCAAAAGCGGAACTAATGCGACGCACCATTCTTCACGGGTAAATTAGCGCGGCGCACCCAAACACTGTAGCAGATTCACTAACAACATGGCAATGACAGGGGAAAAGCTGGCGCTTATGTCCAAGAAAGGTGTTGCTACATCTGTAATATGGAATTGGTTCGGTTTTGCGAAGTCGGACACAGACCAAACAAGTCCTCGTTGCACAGACTTTAAAAACTGTTGCAACCAAAGGAAGCAGCGCGACTAATTTATTCCAGCATGTAAAGCAGAGGCACCCTGACACATTTTCGAACTATGTGCCATATGATAAGAATCGGGCACGATGGAAGGCGATAGCAAACGCTGTCGCGATGTATAGTGCAAAATACATGGTGCCCATACATACTGTGGAAAAGCTGGGATTCATTAACATGCTAAAAGTTTTAGACCCGAAGTACGTGCCTCATTTTTCTTAACACTGGCGATTTTTCAAATGGCATAAAGTATTTACTTAATACCAAGCTGACATGATAAAATTGTGTGTTTTTTTTCTTCTATTATTATTACAATATTACTTATTACTTTTATTTATAAGTTTGAGGGCGTATTGTGTTGTTGCCAGTTTGAAAATAAGCTATAGAGAAAGCTTTCTAAAAGTTTTTACAAGTTTCTAAAAGTGTTTACAATGGCGTGGTCTACCATCTCATTTACAAGCATCTTTTATGGCTTGTCAGATTGCACTTTAACCCTAAAGTAAAAAAAGCTAAATAAAGTTTAAAATTGTTTTGAACCATTTTTGTCATCTGTAGTTTGATTTTGAGTAGGGGAGGGGAAAATCGATTAAAATCGGAAATCGGATTTTTTGTGAAAAAGTCGGAGATTTAATTTTTAGGCCATATCGCCCAGCTCTAATAGCCCTGTATCTCCATATGCATACATTGTAAATTTTTTAAGAGTTTGAATTCATAAGTAGGTGCAGTTGGTGTTGGATTGTAGACTGTTGGTAATTCCAACATGTCATTCATGTTTGGTTACATTTAAAACTAATACAATGTAAACTGAATAGTAAATATCACTTCATGGTTACTGTGCTATGTGTTTGATGAAAGTCATTCATGTTTGGTTTTTTAGTTAACATTGTCACTTCTGTAGGGATCACATGACAATGAGGAGACTGAAGCATTGTCCCCCACTGATCCCAATGGACCAAACACAGAGGAGGTAAACAGAGGAACAGGAACTCTGTGATTCTCAGGGTTCCTTTCATTTACTCTACTTTGGGTCCACGGACACTGTTACCTGTCAGTTTTTACAGTGTATTTCAAATGAATAAGGAAGTTAACTTCTTAATTAAAGTCTGTATGCCATGGGCGTCGTTAGGCCTATTTAGGGTGGGCTTCAGTCCTCCCAAAATGATCCCAAGCCCCCCCTAAAAATATAGTAATTATCATACTATTTTTAAATTATATATCCATACATTTCATACAAGATATCACAGCGCAGGTACGCACTTAACAAATAGAAGCAAGACTATTATTAAAAATAATGCTGTAAGTCTAGCTATCATTATTTAATTAAAATTATGTACTGGCTGTTTAAGCTGCTATAGGTAGAAGCGGGCATTAGGACCCAGGTGGAAGTTACATGTCGCTGCTTGTTAGCGAGTAGCAACGTTCAACAGAAAGAAGCGGACAGATAATTTCATTGTCAGAGATTGTGAGTATGTGTCAATAACTGTTAATTGCTTAACTTTACTTAGGTTTCCGTAAGTGAAAGGAAAGTGATGTTGTTGGCTATTTTAAAACTAATTTAGACTAATATAATGCTGCTGTCATAATTAGTTATTGTGATCAAAAACTTAATTGTCACGCCCTCGAAGGCGGGGCCCGTCAGGTGCAACACGTCAGCACCTGCTTAACCTTGTTTAAAAGGAGAACAGTTGCCTATGCGCATCGCAAAGTATTGAGCCAATGTTACCGTGCCTTGCTGAGCGTTTTTCCTGTCTCCCGTGTTCCCACGTCATCCTGCCTTACCTGTCGTCCCGGTGTTTGATCCCTGCCTCCATACCTTCCCTCCTTAGACCCGCTCCCGTCCATGACTCTCCCATCTCACCAAGTCCTGCGCTCCCCGCCTCTTGTTCCTTGTCAGCTTGTGTCATCGTTGGACGGACTTCACTGGCATCGACCCCGGACCACGCACCTAGACCACGATACCTGCGCGCCGTCTCTGTACTTCTGCACCGGCTCTCCGAGTGGGAGACCCCACTCGCGTCAGCAGCCCTCGCCCGTACCATCGGGGCAGGAAAGCCGGTTTCGCCACGTAGAACGGGATTGTTCTCCCCCCGTGACTGTAACCTGCTCTTCCCATTAAACCCCTCTGGTCCCTGCATTTCTGAATCTCCGCCTCTTTACTGGCTAAAGGGTGACATTAATGGTAAGTGTCCCTGTTTTTGCTGTTGCAGGGACACTTACCATTAAGTGGATATATTTTTACAACAGCAAAAACAGGGACACTGAAGTTCAGTTTATATACCAGATGGATATACGAAAGTATTTTGAAAGATTGAGGGAGAAGCAGGAGAGCGGCAGGGGAGCTGATGCTGAGGGAGCATGATTAAGACTGGAGGTTTACATTTAAAGAGATTATTTGTTTTGTTGTTGTCGTCGTTTTCTTCAGGGTGGAGCCTTCTAGATTAATGAGATAATAACATTAAAGAAGCCTGTTTAGGTTTGGTGAAAAATTTTCAGCCCTCTATACACGCTAATTCCTTCCTACAACCCTGGAGGCTAAGCCCCCCTTGTCTTTCAATCCTAGTGACGTCCCTGCTGTATGCATTTCATTCATACTGTAGCACCGGGTGGACCAAGGCATCACAAGCATAGTGAAGGATGAGGAGACTTGCTTGCCAGAACAGAATACGCTTTTTATTGTAGTGCTTAACAGGACTGTAACAGGCACTCAGCAAACACCGAACCCAAATACACACAGCAGAAGCACAAGGTGGTCAGACACTGAACTGTATGGTGCCCACACGGTGAGAGATTTATACAATCTAAGAACACGTGAGGATTGCACAGGGAACACACAAGACACAGGAAAACATACACAACATGATTGGGAAGGCAACTATGACTATAACAACAATACAAGGGCTATTTACAATTACAGACCAGGGCTATTTACTGTACATAGCCCACAAACATGCTGGGATAAGCTGACCCCCACTGGCTCTACAATACTGAGCCAGTATTGGGATGTTAATCTTTTTAATTATTTGGTCACATTAAAATAAGTCCTGTAACTAGGTGGTATACTGAATACCTTGATATGGTTACTACACTATTTGTTTGACAAAAAAAAGTAATAAAATGTATCACCTGACACACTTTTGCAGGGGTCACATGACAATCAGGAGATGGAGGCATCATCACCTGCTGATCACAAATAACCAAACACAGAGGAGGTATTACTGAGAGAAAAATACAGAAGGCTGAAGGATTTATAGAGTTTAATTTTATATTTTGCCTACAGTCCCAGGTTTTCCAGATTCTATTGGATCATCTTGTGTGAGCAGTCATCAGATTATTGATGACTTTTTGCAGTTAACTATCTGAAGACTTGAAGGACTTTGCTGGGTAGAAAATAAACATTTCTAGGACCAGCTGCACATGTATATAAGCAGATGTTCATCTGCAGAGGAGAACCCTGAGAAGGACCATTATGTTGTATCTATAGTCAGTCACCTGAAGATAAAGTCGACTGTTAAGATCAATATAGGGTCTTTCATGTCATCCTGCTTTTTCTAATCTGAACTCTGTATATTATACTGGTGTTACATGGCATTTTATGTGTCTAAGAATATCTGCTTAGCATAAAAGCTTGATTATTTCATTTGAAGAGACACTGCTTAGTGAAACAATGTACAGTGGTACCTCAGTTCTCGAACTCATTGGAACTCGAATTTCTTAAAAGTCGAACCAACCAGTTTGAAAATAAAATTACCTAGAGCTCGATCTGAATCTCAGAAGTCAAACCGTGAATGCCGACCTAAGATAATTTGTACGCGCGGGGAAATTAGTCACGCGGCACGTCTCTCAGCGGAAACAAAGGGTAACGCTTCAGTCTCAGCCTAGCATTCACTGTAATAGCATTGTGCATGTTTACACTAGCTGAATACATATATTTAGACACGAAGCATTCCACGCCGGCCGGACTCCTTGCATGCAGCCCCCGTTTTTTCATGGTTTTGCATGGTGTCATGGTATCGAAATTTATTTCAGCCAATTGAATCATACAGGTGCATAATTTTGGTTTGACATTAGGTTACAGTAAGGCGATTTGAACGATAGTCGGCTGTCTATGAGTAACTGATATTAACATAGTTTGAAGAATATAGTTCCTATTTAGAATAGGAACTATATTCTTCAAACTACACAAGCTGTATGTCATAGTGTCAACCTGAGGGGTGTTTTTTATATACATTTTGTGTTCTATCATTCATTTTGAGGGACTTGGTTACAACATACTATGGTTATAACGTACAAATTCTTAATGTCCCCCGAGGTACGTTGTAACGAAGTTCGACTGTAGTTGGTTTTCCATTATTTCTTATGGGGAAAATTCGATCACAACTCGAACTTTTTAGGATTCGATCCGGAGTTCTGAACGGATTAAATTAGAGTTCTGAGGTACCACTGTATTTAGAAAGTTACAAGTCATAAATAAACTGGTTTCTGGACAACATTACAGAAACCGTTACCTTTGCAGTATTGTGATGCAATGTTAAAATGTATGGGGCGGCCAAATGTCAAGCGCTCATTTTTGTGTAAAAATATATATTCTGTACCAGGGTTGGGGCCATTCCGGAATGTATTCATCAATTCCAATCCAAATCAGGAAATGGAACTGGAGTTGGGATTGGAAAAAGAAACTATGAGGAACAGAACTGGAACTGAATTCAATTTTCAGGGAGATATAAATTCTAACTCCAGTTCCATTTCCTGATTTGGATTGGAATTGATGAATGCGTTGCGGAATGGCCCCAACCCTGTTCTGTACCAAAAAAGCATTATTTAATGATGAAATAAAGTAATGCCTTGCTGCATTCTGTTGTAGGATCACACATGCACAAATGACAGAGCTTAAATTCCAGGTGGCCTGAGACAAGGCCTACCCTGGTACGAGAGGTACTCGCTGGCCTAGGCACAAACCCCACACACACAAACACACTTAAACACACACACACACACACACACACAGATAACAAGGGCAGCACTCCAACTTTTATTGCCCAAAGATTTAAGTACCTACAGACAGCAGAGTGGACCTCATGGACAGGGGTCCCTTGACTTGGTACACAACCCCCTCCCCAGATATCCTGCCTTACATACCACTCACCCAACAGGCCAACAACCAAAAGAAAGTTTCTTCTAAGTCAGCTTGTGTATACCGTGTATATTTCTTTGCTTATGATTGCTAGTCTCAATATACAGGTTATGTTTGTGTGTGTCCTTAGACAATCTTAGTTTTGTGTGCCATCCTTAAAACTATGTTCACGGAGTATCACCTATTTTACCCCTAACACTTAAACACTTAATATAAATTTGAATAAGCAAATATGTATAGCTACCACTGCAAAGATGTCCTCATGGTTATACCAGAAGAATCTTGGAAATTAAATAGTGTAACCAGGTATCACAGTGTGTCCTAACTTTCGGAGATTCTTCTTTCTTTCTTTAACATACCCCCCCTCTCTTCCACACTCCTCTGTGGCCCTTATCTGATCTTTGTGGCCTGTTAGCATTTCTTTACTTGGTATTCTGCATTAAAATAACTGAATTAAGGTGTACATTATCCATTCTGGGGAGAAGATCAATTGGGATAAGCCACACCAACCAAAATATGTTGTTCCCAGATGTACAATTAAATTGGTATTACCTCAAACTAACGGCCACGCCTATCTAAGGGTAATATGTGCTGTTTGAATGTGAATATGTAATGTAATGTCTGTTGAGATGCAACCCAAAACACCTATACTGTATACTGATGTGAGTCAGTAATATATATATAATATAAGTACAGTAATTGTTAATTAATTAATACAGATGGTATGAGGTGTGAACCACTAGGCTGGTATGGCATGTTTGATATCAAACTGATGGAAAATCACTCCTGATTCCAAATCTTGTCAGTGGTTACTATAAAAGTGTATGTATCAAAAGTTATACCAGCTTAATGAAAATCATCAGTAAAGGGGAATCAGTCTGGTCATAAATCCCAAAAGGACTGATACAGACCCCCCTCCGAGCCAACCAAATGGATGGTCGACCATTGGTTCAGTTTTCAAATTCCTGGTCATCCCTATTCATGAACTTTAGACCATAAAACCTGGCACCTCAGAACAAAGCCGGGGGAGGGGCAGAAAAAACATCAGCCCAAAGAGAGGCAAAAGCACATCAGCCCAGGAGAAGAGAAGCCCACAAGAAGCCCTACTGAAGCCTGCCGGTGAAGGCCTGCTACCCAACAGAGAACTGCAACCAAGGCAAAGCCTTTCACCTTAAAGCTTCACAAGGAGAGAGAATCCAAGGGGCTCCACTCCAACAACTGCTCCAAACGTTGCGCCTTCCTGAGTGCCATCATTCCATCAGCTCATCAGCCTCTGCAACCAACTGCCAAGACCCCCCCCCCACTCTGCAACCAAGTAAACCAACTTCTATTCATTCTAACAACCTAAGCTGTTCTGTTAACCTGCTATATGACTTTAGGGTTGTGTTTCCACAAACTGTGCTTGCTTTGCAGAACAGTATTTCCGTTTTAAGGCCACTTAAAATTAATAAATTGTTTTACATGACTCAAACTTCTAAAATATTGGTGAGTAGGGGATTTTATATTTTATATTTGATATTTTTAGCGAAAAGACGAACGGCAACAGAGATATACTAAAACTAGAAAATTAAACTTTATTCTGTCAAGGGTAACATTACTCGGTATATTGATGCCCTGCCAAGATTTTAATACCGTGGGCCCACACACAATCTGACAAACGATAAAAACCATTGTCCGAGAAGCGTCAAATTGAAAAATCCGAGGCTGACATTCAAGATTTTTCACTTACGGCAGCCAGTTTGAGAGAAACACAAGATGATTTCAAACGACGTACGTGCGTATTGACGATGGTGCACGTGCGTATTGACAATCTCTGACAGTTTTTGAGGTGAAAAAAACGGATTTTTTGAAAAATATAAAATATAAAAAAAATCGAGGCGGCACCAAAAAATTGAGGCGGGTGGCCATGTAAAACAATTTATTAATTTTAAGTGGCCTAAGGTTGCTCATTTAAATCCGGTCATTGCATTTCCATAATTACATTGTTTGTTTCTATTCCATTATTTCATGTTTGTTGTTTGTGTTAAGTGTAATTTCTGTCTTATGTTAGTTGTAGTATTAGGAATAAATGCATGTCTTTTACACAACTTCAGTCTCCGTTCATTGAGTGCTCACAATAGTCCCTGCCTCTGTGCGATCTTGCTACACTCAAAAAAATAACTTGTTAGGTGAATGTAATAAAATTATGGAAAGAATTTCCACCTAAGTCAAATGCTTTATTATAGTGAGAAAGAATTTTCTTTACTGACCTAAATTCTATTTTCAACTTGGGGTAATGGGTCTTGCTTAGGGAGCTAATGCTGGTATAAGTGGGACTCAAACCCACAACCACTTGGTTCAGAGGAAAGCATCCTAACCAATAGACCACCAACACACCCTCCTTTTCATGCCCTTACCACTGGAAAAGTATTTTGTTGGAAGTAGTCCCATTCCCAGTTGAATAAAAAGTAAATACTTTACCAGTATTAAAATGCATGAAAAATCATTGTGTGCAGTTCAATTGTTGACAGACCAATTGAATTAAAACAACAAACCACTCTTCCTTATAGCTTCCATTACAATCATTTTATTGGTCCTATTACAATTTATTGATGCAGTGAGGAACTACGGAAAAACAATGTTAACTGCCTGTCGGCCCTAAAATAATGCAGCTAGTACTACACTTTAAAGCCGAGTAAGTTCAGAGTACTCAAAACTTTTGTCGTAACTGATTACCTAAGAAAATGTAAGTATCCGTAACATTTTATTAGGTATATTGTAATTTAAAAATATATGTTTCTTTTCCTCATTTTTTT